TACTCTCTCTCTCTCTCTCTCTCTCTCTCTCTCTCGCGCGCGCGCGCGCGCGCGCGTGTGTGTGTGTGTGCATCTCCTCGCCGATACTCTATCCGCTTGCGTCAGTTGCCAATAAATTATTCGTCAACGTTGCGTATACGAGATATATGATAGTTGAGTCATAACGGCTATACCTCGCGTTGATGACGATTCCGCCGAACCATTTCATGATTTTTACAAAAAAAGTTCCGCCAGACTTGACTCGTTTGGATTTCAATTACTTCTACATATATATGCGATCAGCCAGATACCGCGATACAATATTTTGCAGATATTTTGCCAAGTCCCCATGGTTCATCGTAACGTTTATTTTCGAAATTCTTGCGGGGCGTGACGCGTGCGGCGATATTTTGACTGTATCATTTATTCGTATTATTTAATAACTTTATGGTAAGAGAATATCTTGGAGTCACAAAGAGTTAAAGATTCATTATTGCGCGAACTCGTGCAAGATCCAACATCTGCATTCCGCATCTTATGCAATTCCTTTGCGCCTCCGCAATTTCTTCTTTCATCGCTAGAGAAAGGTGCTATTCAATGAGAGGAGAAGAAGAAGAACGTTAACGAAGATATTCTATATCAGTTATCTCTGGCGAAATCGCCAGAATTATTTAAATCGACGATATAATCGCCAATTGCTTTGAAATTTCACAAGGCACACCAAGATGTTCAATAATAACCGATATATTTTTGATGAGTTCATACTTTACTCTTGCAAATTCACACATAATAAAAGCAATTCGAGATGTTGATACGTAATTATTTCGAGTAATAATAAAAATTGTTTGTAAGTTAAAATTTTAACAAAGCTTGATAATATTTAAATACTCGTTCTGCAAAAAGAATACGAAAAAATTATTTATCACATTTGTTTCATACGCTATCATTGATATCATTAATCATCGGAGCGTGATAATCCTTGCATTCTTTTATTTTTGATGTTGTTTTATATTCGAATTCTCATTCGGTGGTAGCTCCTGGTCGGAGTAGCCTTGAGAATCGAAGCGATCGAAATTAGACCGGTTTCAATACTCGCGCTCGAGAGAAAGACAAGAAGAATGACGACATACGCGCGCAGTCCAGCGAGGACGATTTTGTGGAAAGTCGAGTAGAGAGAGCGAGTGAGGCTGTTACCGCTACTACTGTCGGCTCGTACGTTCGCCTGCTCCAATTGCGATTTCTCGCTTACGCGTGCTAATTAACCCTAATTGTACGGAGGGGCGGAGGAAAGAGAAAAAAGGGGGATACGGGGAGAGAAGGATAGATCGCGATGCGAGTAGAACGGTGGGGGACGCTCTATAACGGGCGATTTCACCATCTCGCGTCCCATCGTCCCATCGTCCCATCGTCGCGATCCTCGCGATTCGAGAGCGAGATAGCATTCTGTCGTGCAATATCGTCCGCAATTGGTCCTACACAACGCACATGTGTGTATCAAGCGCAGCGTGAACTCTTTTGATTCGACGCACCACGCGGTTCCGAGGCCCGGAATTTATGTTTTACACAACGAGACTCATTAGTGTTGCTCGATGTAATAGCAGATAACTAAATCAAACGATTAATGACGAATAATGATGCGACACTCGTAATTACGCATACTTACACATACCCGCCTCACTAGATGACTGATCATGACTGATCTGATAATAACAATTTTTTTTCAAACTTGTGTAATACGAATCAAGTGTGAGAACTAATTAATAACATTGATACGAAAAAACTAAAGATGATAACTTCAGAGATCATTCTTCGGAAATTATCCTATAGATGTAGAATTATTATTATGAAAATTACTGTGAAAACGAGCTTTACTATGAAATTATTCGAAATGAACATGAATTGTGTCGCGATATTTAAATACATATTTACTTGATTGGATTTCCATATTGTATTGTTATGCCCGCGCGAATCTTCCGCGGCCGAGTCTGGAGTCGAGCAGTTGCCGTTTGCAGTAGAAGCGAAACACTCTCCGGGGCAACGGTTGTTTTGTTTACGAAAAGGTACGGCGGGGTGACTCGTGGGCAAACGCGTGACGTGTGGCCACGCCAAATTGTTGTCGTAGTTTCGTTCGAATGAAGCCTACGTGTTTTATTAAACGGCATTGTTTGCATTGCCGAGCGCGGCTTCCTAGCGGAACGCGAGTGAGAGCGCGTTAAGTGAGAGCGCGTCAGTGACCGCCGCGGACGTAACAATATTATAACAAATATTCATTAATAGAGAACATTATTTATTATTTATTATTCTGTCAAGCTTATACAATATAGTAATAATAAAATATACATTTCAAACCCTTCAACTTTATCAACGCGCATGTAAACGTGTAGTTTAGTAAATCACTTTTCGTATCATATTTTGCTGCGGCAATTAAGCTGATTATACGTAAATACTTAACGGCACCGCATTGAACGTCGAAACGAGGCCGTTGTTTCCCACCACAGGAAGCAAATGGCACTTTAAATTGCCGGCCGCACGCACGTCATCATCTCGTCGAGGGATAACTGCATATGATCCTTCCTCCCATGTGGATGCAATCTCGATTCGATCGACGCAAGTGCCATGCTCGGTTTTTATCCGATCGCTTCGCGACGAAAAGCACGAGCTCGAGCGATCATTTTTTTTTCTATTCTGATACCGATGATATGATATGATACGCGTGAGAAATCAAAAAATATCTCCCCACACATTCAAAATAAAATTTTTATGTTCGAAAATGTTCTTTTATTTATATTTCTGCTAATTAAGGTCTTAATTAAGGTTTGCGCGGTTTGATTTCATATAATGTCGCTAAATATTTAGGTTATTTAAATCACGTAATCAGTATTTATATAAATTTTACGAAAATGTAGAAGAGAGGTTTCTCATAAATCGCGACATCTGCGATACCGCGACTTTACAATATGACACCGTTGCTTGCGCGCGCGCGCGCGTGCCGCGAAGGTTTTCGAAATAGATAATTTTATGAAAAATTAATTTATATTTTGCATTTTCTCAGGAGACTCTGTCATGTTACTCGACGACGATGATGTACGTGGAGGCGCAATGTGCAACGTTAATGACGCGCCTGCTGCGCTACGACCGACTTTATCGGGGATGTCAGGTTGTGATACTTGGATCGTACAACCGTTACCGAGAGGAGAGCCAGGGGTCAAGCTTAGGCGTGCATATTGCTTCTTTGCACACGTCATTTTCCTCACGAGCAAAGATTACACGTCATCATCTCCAGAAAATGCAATCAAAACAGACACATAATCCGTGTCGCGATTTGTCCAACATTTATCAATCTGTCGTCTCTTGTACGTTCTTGTTCGAGAAGATAATACAACCTTGATTATATGTATATAACCGTATATCTTTTAGTAAATTCCTGCGAGTTAAACTGGCAGTTGACCTTCGTGAGTTAAAAGATGACAGTGACCTTTCATAATAAATATCGTAATAAATATCGAACGTGTTATTTAAAAAAAAGATTTGATGTCTTTTAGTCGTTTACTAAACCATTTTATTAAGACTATTTCTATACGTCTGTGATTACACAGCTATATTTTTGAATTCTGTTTCAGAAAGATTTTAATACCGTTAATATGGAAATTTTCATTTGCATTCCGCATTGATTTTTAGCTAAAATCAGAAACGATTGGATCGACAACTTGTTTACCTAATTAAAAAAAATAGTCTCGAATATTTCACGTCTTATAAACGGCAAATATTTCTTTAGGACACACTTCGCGTATCGTAACTCTTAAATATTTATAACATAAATCATCCAAATGTTATTTAATGATGACATCCGCGCGCTCATTGGCAATGAACAATTACGACTCGAAAAGTACCACGGTAGCGTTACGTCGACAATTACGAACATGAGTCGCTATATTGTAATTTCCTCGAGAGATCATATCATGCTTACACCATAATGCATTATAATTATATATTATATATTATTATTGTTATCAACTTGTAACCTGTTTTTTTTATTCGCGTCTAAAGTAAATTATACGTAAGAACAACAATCTGATGCACGAAGATCGCGCTTGTCCTTCGACCACGTTGAATTAATTACTTTACTTCCAAGTATTAAAAGTAGCGGAACAAATGAGGGACTAATTGATTATGATTCAACTGACGACAAATTTTTTTAAACACGAATCTTGAATTAACGCCAAAATTTTTTAAATGATGAAATTGTTATCCTTTATAAAAAAGGAGATGTTAAGTCGATTTCTTGAAGTTTATTGTTGCCGCTTTTCCGCGATGCTGATTGGTTCTTTTGCTGTGCTAATTTCGTGAGTTACTGTCAATTTACAAATTGTAAAAGGCGGGCGAGGTTAGTAGCGAATGAAATTTTGAATCGGTTTTGAATAAGGACAAAGATAAGATGAACAAGGATGAATGAGTTGCTATTTTTTTATCACGACGGTACGTCGCTACCATCGACGAATAATATAAAAATATATAATATGAAAAGCTTAGTGGCGCGCGCGTGTTATGTTCTAGTAATGATTAAAAATGAAAAAAATTATATAAAGTATATATCTCTCATATATCGAGCTCTCGTTACAGAAATATCAAGGCCGTTCGTTATATAATCTGACGATTAACATGGCAAAATGCCGCTTTACTACGTATGCATTTATCATATGTTTTCATTATTCGTCGATAACGGAAATTGAATCCTTTGGTTGTTTTTTGATTGACGTCATTAAAACCGATTGAATTGGGTCATTAAAGCGTACGATAGAGCGCATGATATTCATCGGCTGAACGAGAACCGCACGTATTTAGCTCTTCCCCGGGCTTTCACACACTTTCATAATTTGTAGCATGCAGCCGCCGCGATCAACGGTATTCGACGAAATTCCATACGATACGTGCACAATTCTACGAGAGAGATTTCTCTGAGAGAAAAAAAAAGAGATGTAGAGAACGTTCGCGATATCCTTCGTGATCGTGCGCATCTCCTTTTTGAATTTCAAAGTGCAATGACTTATCGATCAAAATACGAAATACGAATTTTCTTTTTATCCATATTGGATAAAAGAATTCCGATCCAAATGCGATAATAATTCGATCGAATTATTAAAATTATTAGGCATATGTAACGCGGATCCGTACACAGAATCCACCAAGAATAGATCGAGGTCACGATCGCTTTAACGGTAATTCCTTCAGGCAGTCAGTTCGTTCACGAAACCGTCAGAAAACGATCGATACTTAATTGCATCACGAAAATTTCGTCAATCTCACTGGCTAAGACGCAGTCACGACGTATATCTTTTAAGACGGAATAAATACGCATGTTCAATTATCATTTTAGAGTTTTAAATTTATATTTTCTAAAAATTAATTTTAATTTATTAAAAAATTTAATGTTATATAAGTTTATATTTCTCCTTGGAGAATGTTTTAAATAAATTTCCTCAAGTTTTCGATTACTCATTGAAAAGATAGATCTGAGATCAGATCACATTTCTCGAGTAGAACGTGAGCATAGTATTAAGAAATTTAACAGGACTTGAAACTTTTATGAGTACATGAAAAAATAATAACTCGTGCCTATCAGATTTAGTTTTGATACTAAAGGTTATTTTTTTTTTTTTTTTTTTTTCTTTCCCGATACCGTTATACCAAGCATCCGTGCCACGTGAAACAACAAGTTTAATAGTCTCCAATTACTCTCCAATGGAATATTATTATCCGGCTCGATCCGGATTTCAGAGTCTACAGATGAAACAGATGATTCTTCAGATGAGTCTCTGATTGTTTTTACTTACACAGGGAGAAACACGGAGAGACGGGTCGGCGATAATCGCGATAATCGTCAGAACAGCCTGATCGACCGGCAGCCGTTCGAACTCGTCCGAACGACGTTCCGGTGCCCGGGTCGCATCTTCGCCAGGGGAAGAGGAGGGAATCCGCGTCAACACGCCGGCATTCCTCTCCCGTTGCCGTATCACGTCGTCATCTCCTCGTAATTTCCTCTCGTCCTTATCTTTGGTTGGTCCTTTGCGAAATTAGAAGGAGCGCATCGACGATCGCACTACGATACGAGTACCACTAATTTTTCTTCTTCCGAAACCGGATATCCCGAAGAAAACAACACACGTCAGAGGACAAAACGCGAAACGCGAAACGCGAACCGGACGCGCTTTCTTCTCCCGATTGTTTCGCGTATATGTATATATCGGTATACGTATAGATGTAGGTATGCGTGTGTACCGGCTGCTGCTGTTGCTACCGCGGGATGAATGCGACGTGCCTGAATGGAAGAATGGAGTTGGGGCTCTGGAGGAGAGCTCGATGTGATCTGGATCTTACGATCTTTACGATTATTTACGAGCGTTGAAGACAATCATCGGCCAACACGTGCAAAGCTTTTCAAGCACTCGATCGTCACTCGTCGTACTTTTTCTACCTTTGTAAAAATCACGACGATGACGATGGATCACTGGATAACTTTCGATATGACAAATTTTTTCATCGATTCATCGATCTGTTCCTGCTTTCGTTCGTTCCGGTCAGCTGATCAAGTTGGATATTAAAAAACCGCCGTTTGCCGGTCGCCGGTCGCCGGTCGCCGGTCACCACTCGAAAGAATATGCAAGGACCTGTTACGCGCACATCTACTTCAGCAGCCGGCATATTCTCGACAGCATATCCTCCGAATCACAATGTCCGATATGGCAATCACGAATTTTCTCAAGAAACTGTCTCTAACCGTGCACAATTGTCTTTATAACAACAACAACAACAACATATAAGAAATACGATACCAAAAAACATAAATTACATTCCAAAGTAATTTCGATAAGCTCGAGACGAAAATACCGGTTGTATGTCGAGACGGCGTCTCATTCCGAACTGCCGCCAGACGCCAGACGAAGTCTTCGACTAGGGGGCCTTCGAGAATCGAGAGGGGAGCTCGAAGAGAGTGACTGAAAGAGAGAGAGAGAGAGAGAGAGAGAGAGAGAGAGAGAGAGAGAGAGAGAGAGAGAGAGAGAGAGAAGAGAGAAGAAGA